GCTGCAAGACGAGCGTTTCGTACGAGACTTCCTCCAAAAGTCACGCGTCGAGTCTCAAAAACGAGCGTTTCGCACGAGACTTCCTCCAAAAGTCACACGTCAAGTCTCCAAAACGAGCGTTTCGTACGAGACTTCCTCCAAATGTCCAGCGGAAACACCCATCGGAGCGTATACATCACGCAGCCCTGCCTAGCAATTTCGCGATTCCAGCCCCTCCAAACGACACCCGCTCACACGCCAATCCCAATGTGACAGCGACATTCACCTCTACCATAACGCACGACCTCGCGATTCCCTGCGCCTGCCACGAATCTTTCCGCATCCACACGTCTAACGCGCACAAAGTACTGCGCCTGCCACGAAATGTCAACTCCGTCACACCTCGCAACCTCACGATTTCCTGCGCCTGCCACGAAAATCGCACTTCCACACCTCAAAATCAGCACAAAGTACTATGCCTGCCACGAAAAGTGAGAATATCATCTCACATGAGCTTCAACAAAATTTGCACCACACCACACGTTTAGAATGATTTCGACCCGTTCTGAGCACACTCCCATCCACCAAAATCGCCATTTCAGCTGAGACTTGTCGCGAAAACAGAGCTTCGATGCCACACCCTGAAATGCAAATCCCAATGGCACGGCCACATCCAACACCCCAAAAACACGACTCTCCAAACGCTAATCCCAATGGAACTGCGCAGTAAACTGCGGATCTCTCAAACCACTGCGCCTGTGCAGCGAAATCCATCACGCTTCTTGCGCGACATGTCATTTTCATGCAAATCACAATGGAATAGCGTCGCAAACTGACACGTGACACATCCATGAAAAGTCACTTGCAAAAGCTTCCCCCAATGGCAGCGCCTTAGCGTCCTACTGCGAACGGTTGCGGACGGTTGCGAACGGTTGCGGACGGTTGCGAACATAGAAACAACGGATCGCGAACAAGACTCTACCCCCAGACCCCCAGAGTTAAACGAGAACCCTTCGCTACGCATTCGGGAATAAAACATCACTTCTGGCCATCTCCGAGCCAAGGAAACACATTAAAAACAAGACATATATAAAGGAAAATGGTCGCGTTGTTGCAAACTTCCTAAAACCCCGCTCAGAGCACATAAGCCGATCCACCAATGGACATCGGGCCCAACGATGCTTCCAACCGCTCCTCTTTGCACCTTGTTTTCCGTTCCTCCTCTCCAAGGAGCGAAAAGCTGGAGGAATACTCCGGATGGAAGGACACCTGGAGCGAGCTCGCCGCAACCCGCCCGCGAACGCTCCACTCGCCGTGAACCCGACCGCACCGCTGCCCACACCGCTGACTGGTGGTCGCCGGTGCCCAACAAGGCAGGCGGGTCCCGAAAGGTCGGCGTTGACGCTTTGGTGTTGTTCCAGCTTTTGGGCGCCGCTTTGAATGGTGCAAAACAAGGCGTGCTTGTCCACCATTCTCCATGGTTCCCGTCTCTTCTCTTCTCTTCGCCAACCCCGCGCAGCGCGTGTTCCACGGCGCCTGTGCTCCGCACATCTTGCGAGTGATGGCGCAAATCCTCGGACGGTCCGACGGACCGTCGTTCAGCGACGGCAACGCCAGGACCATGGCTGTAAAGCAGGTGTGGACGGCATGTGTGTGGAAGATGAGACGGTCTTCTTTCTTCAAGCTAAAAACGATCTCGCGTCACGCGGCTGCCAAGACTCTTGTTGGGTACGAGGTTCTCAGCGGCTGTCTTCAAGACCAGCTTCATGCACTCCTCAGGATGCAGCTCAGTGGAATTCCAGATGTGGGGGGCATGTCGGGAAGGTCTTGTGCGGCCAGGGCAATGGAACCGGCGATGGTACGTATCAAAACACAATTTCAAACAGGTGGGATCACATGTATCGTATCGCCGTCTGAAGTACCTTCCCCAGGACCTTCCCAGTGACCTTTTGAGATCCCAGAATGGGATCACTTAGGCCTTGAAAAGGTCACTTAGCAGGTCACTGGAGAAAATTGTGGAGATCACGTCCTTGCGATGTTCACACCTGTTCCACCGCTCGGGCGTTGGACTAAGAGTCAGCTCGGGCGTCCAGTTGGAGAGGGTGGGCACATTATAAAGAAAAGCACTCCCTGAGATCATCATCGAAGTGGATGGCGTCTTCGGAATTCATGGTCATCCCCCATGTTCCACTAGTTTGTTTATTTCAAGGAGATAGATGTTCCACTTTGCAGGGTGGACCTTCTAAGAAGCTCCGAGACCTGGGCACGAGCTTCGGTTCGTTCAGTGCAGTTTCGCCACGAAGCGGTCAGCACGTGAACGAAGCGGTCAGGGGATGCAGCGAAGCAAGTGTTCAATTCCATCATCCTTCGGTGCCAGACTCACTTCCATCGCGACTTCGGTCACGTTAGATGATGTGTCTTTTGTCCTAAACGTCCACCTCTTTCAGCTTCGCCCGGTGGCCGGCGGATGGAGAACCCATGTGCCACAACCAGCCCTGCAAGTCCCAAGCGTCTTCTTGGCTGCTGCAGCTGCACAGCATGCGACCATCACCTCCACCTTGGCAGTTCTCCTCGTGAGAGATGAAGATGGAACCCGGCGTGAACCGGAAGGGTTCGAGGTGTCTTTGCTTAACAGGAACCGGTATGTGATCTGGGGATTCTATCACCACCCTGCCAGGGGGGTTCAGGATTTTTGGGCTTCAGGAACCAGTTTGGCGATCTTGAACCTGGTTTTTTCCCAACCAAACTCCCAAACTCCGGAGTGATGTTGAGTTCAGTCAACCATTCTTCTCTGGGGATCTTGGGCGCGAAGCGATGCGGATGCGATGACGCGATGGGCCATCCGATCACGCGGAGCTGCAGGGATGGACTGCTCCAAACACACGATCTCATAGGGACAAAGCCTACATGTAGCAAAGGACAAGCTCTAGGAGCCATTATTTGTTTAAATTCAACAAAACTTCCGACACTAGTGATGGCTTCTCTTCCCTGTTCGCATGCAAATTTGATCAAAGTTGGCCTCACTCAGGCTTGGGGGGACGGGGGGATTAGTCAGGTTCCGTGGTGCCCGTCTTCACGCGCAACGAAAACGAACCGCCCACACTCCCGTCGCTCCTGAGAGAGGATGCGATCCATGGTGCCGATCTGCTCTTGGCATTGACTGGTGTGGTAGTCCGGTCCTGGACCATAGACTGAACAGTGACAGAAACGAGCGAGCGGAAACGCCGGAGGAAACGGAGGGAGCGAAGGGTTCACCCGAAAGGACCAGAGCGACGCTCCTCCTGGGAGGACCACCCTTAAAGGTTGGCTTCACTCGCCACGAGAAGCCGAGAGAGGTCGATCGGGATTTGACCTTTGAAAGGACCAAGTCAGCATCGGAGTTGTCCTTCCCTCAAACGGACCCTGATTTAAAGTATATATATATATATAGCTTCTAATTCAGACTCCAAGTCTCTGCTGCCTCAAAAACAACCTAAAAACACCTCCATTTGGAGGGTACTTTCTGATGGTCTGCCCACCTAACCTATAGGGCATGCCTCAACTCTAGTGCGCGATGGTCTAACACCACCTGACGTGTCACCGGACCTCATCACCGCACCAGTCATCCACCGCTCAGTCATCCGGTTTCGTCTCTCCTTGGAAGACTGAGACCCGACCGCCACCCTCGGGCTGCACCAGGAAGCAATCACCCAGATTTCGGCAGGCCCTCAGAAGCGGTGTCGGTGCCAGTTTCTGGCCGTCTCGAAGAGTCGAGCGCGAGAAGCGAGCGGTGTCGGGAGCCGCGCTGGTCACTTGGGAGGTGGTCTTTGAAGTGGCAAATGGGCCGAAAGATTCTTGGGACACACAACCAAAACTCGACCAAAGCAATACGAGGTCCTCCGGTTTAGATCTTTAAGCAATATGGCAATATACTTTGCATCTATTTGCATTGTATATGACAAGTGTATTTCAGTGACTTCAAAGCCGAGCCCTGATTTGACACCTTTCTAACCTACCAAAAAACACTCATGGACATCTTACAAAAAAGGCCTTGTGTCATCTCCAAACATGGTCATCTCCAACCTCAAAAAGCCTATAGATTCTTCGGGTCATTCTGCGCTTGCCCAACCACAAAAAAGAAACAAAACACGCCAAACGGCGGCTTTCGCCAAGGCTCTGGTGAATTCCCATCAGCTTCTGCGATCCAGTGTCCAGCTGCACATCCACCGTCTGCGCGGGCGTGCCGATCGACAGCTGGGCGGTAATGGTGCCGTCCATGCCCAGCACTTGGCCTGGAAAGGAAGAAGGAAGGAGCGATAGGACATCTCAAATCTCTGAGTCCTCCACTCCTGGGTCCCTTGAGGCGTCTGCTATATCTTCTGCTATCTCTTTTCACACAGCCCAAGAGTTCGTGCTCGACTCGACTCGCAAGTGGAGCTCTTCCACTTCACAGGTCGTCCCGGTCGTCTCGTCTGCGGAAGGCGCAAACAGCTGAAGCTGTCGGTGTGTGCAAACAGCTGAGCTGTGATCCCCTTAGCCTTGAACACAGCTCTGTCAGGTGTCTTTTGTCTCACCACTTCCCATTTTGGGTGCACCAAAAAGCTTCTATGACCGCAATCGCCGCACCTGCCACGCCCTTCATGGGGATGGGCTTGGTATTGGCCGCGCCGTAGTTCACCTTGCAGCCGTCGGCCGATCCCAACATCACCAGCTGAGGCTTGCTCAAATCGCTGGTGTCATACCTCAGTGCGCGTGACGCGTCATACGGAAGGAAAGAAAAGATGAAAAGATCACCGTTTGGTCCTGCATTTCCTCCGGGAGTGGCTCTTTTCATCATTGTCTGATGTATTTGGTCTTCTGCATTCCATTTCAGGAGAGGCCTGGTCTTCTGTGTTTTGTTCGATAATATTGTGTCTTTTGGTCCATCCGGTCGAGGGTTTTTCTCGGTTCCAGGTTCGAGGTTTTAGACCCGTCCGGATGGATTCAGGGCCGGCACCCATGGGACTGGCAGGGCTGACTCCCCAGAAACAGCCAGGGGTGGTTGATGATCAGGGGTCAATGTAGGAGAATGTACGCTCCCACTTCGAGTTAGTGAGTCGGATTGTAGGTTCCATACCGACATGGAGCGTCTGGGGTAGATTCGGGGACGCTCAATGCCCACGGATTGATTCCAGCGGATGGTGTGAACGGCCTGCGGCTCTGAGGGCTCACTTTCGAGGTTGTCCGCTTGGAATCCCACGGGGTACTTTTTGGGGTCTGTCTTGAAATGTTGTTTGTTGCGATCGTTGTTTGCGTGGTGAGTGCACGCGCTCCACCCGCAGAGAAAAACCGGGCGCCTGACTGGCATCTGACTGCGTCTGTTTCTGTGTCTCACTGAGACTGCTGGTGTCATGTCTGTTTGTCCCGGGAGCCGAGCTGTCGGATGCGACGTGTCCTTCGAAGAAGCCAGGGACTCTCATTTGGGACCGGTGAATTCTTCGGCTCAGTCGACGATTCGACTTTGGATTGGGACTTGAGGCCGAGGGTAGGTGACGAAAGCTAGCAGGGGTGCATCCGGACTGGTGGGACATCAAGCGGAGTGAGGCAAATGCTCATGAGGTAAAACGTTGTGAACATGTAAGACACACAAACAGCAATGACACAGCCAACCTTAGAATTGAAGTCCCCGATAATTAAGGAAGCGTGGCTGGACTTTGCCACACTGGTCGATGCATCCGATGTGTTCACGAACCTGTGAGCTTGTTGAATCTGTTGCACCGTATCCCAAAACCTCCACGGAGGAGTTGAACCAGTGTGGATGCCATAAGAGGTGCCCAAGAGGTGTCCCAGAGGCAAAACAAAGCTGCTTGCATGATTTGTTTGGTTTCTTCTATCGATGTCGATGTCATGAACGTGTGAGCTGTTGCACCGTATCCCGGAGGAGTTAAGCCAAAGTGGATGCCATAAGAGATGCCCCAGAGGTGTCCCAGAGGCGTCGGAGGGGGGAGTTGAACCCACGGGGGAGGGAGGGGGCCCCCCTACATATGAAGTTTTCACGTGATTCGGCGATCCCGAGGATTCCAGCCCCTCACTTGCTAAAGCAAGGACAACTCCAGCTAGCTGGTGCTAGCTTTCGTGAAGAAAACCCCAAAAACATCCTCACACCGGAAGGCTGGATGGAAATGATGGAGTAATGGGTAGACCTTGAAAATCCCGTTTGTAGCTATGATAATTAGGATATTGAAGCGCTTGCTAACTGCTTGCTAAGAGCTGAGACCTGTCACCAGTCTGGATCCGAGCCTTTAGCCCCCATGAGCGAAGAAGTCGTGCCGTGCACCTGTTGCGGGGTGTCCGAGTCCCTCTGAACCTCGCTTCGTCCACAATCCTTTGGGGTTTTCACCAGGTTTTCACCAACCACACCGGTGGGGTCCTGCTGAACTCTCTGCAGGGTGTGGGGACAGTGGTCGATGTTGGGTGCTGGTCAGTCTGCTCACGTCCCGCTCACAAACACCCTTGGAGAGCTCAAAAAACGGAAAGAAGCCGGCGCGCTAATGTTTTGCTAACGGAAATGCCCAGGACCGGTCGGTTTTTCTGTGAGCCAGCCCAGAAAAGAGCTGGCATTAAGCATCGCATCGAGCTACAGAATGGTCTTGCCATAGTTGAAGGAAGTGCCCAAAAGCATGTAGTCTCCTTGGAGAACGATGCGCAAGCGCAACGGCCAGCGATGCATCGTAACGCGAAAACGAGGACCTCCTCTCCCCGAGGCCAGTGATGTCTTAGTGGTTCCTTTAGGCGGAGGACCTCTGGGGGTCCAGTGGTTCCTTCGGCTTCGCAGCCACAGCCACGTGATCTTCACAACTTGATCAGGCTCAGCCTTTCAGCTGCTTTCGAGCAAGCCAAAATTGGATCAAAGGCCATAGGCTGTTCAACGCTTGCAACCTGCCACGGCAGTGGCCAAGTGGGTCTCTTTTCCTGCCTTTTTGCGGTGGAGATCATCACTGAGTCACGCCAAGACTCCTCCACTGCTGCCCCAGGAGATCCTTGGAATTGTCAACACAGGATAGACTACCAAAGGGACACATGCAGGCAACAAACGTGCAAAAAGCCTGGGTCCCGCTCTGCCAACTAAAACTAAAAGTCCTTTAGAAGTCCAACTTAACTTAAAGAAGTATGACTTGGGTTCGTTGACCGACAGTGATACCGTCCGTGTGATTCGAAGCAAGGGCCTGTCTTCAACGATTTCTTCCCCAGGGCTTCTTCCAGTCTCCGCAGTCGCAGGTGCTTTTCGCCCGAGACCCGGCGCACCGTCGGAAGGACCCGCCGACCGCCGAGGTGAGTTGCGCCGCGGTGGGGACCCTGCGCGTGTATCCGACGCGGCGACTCTGCCGAAGGCACTTGAACTTCCCAGAGCAGGGCTCGGTCTCGTAGAAGAAGGACTTCTTCGAGACGCTAAAGCTGGAGTCTGCGCGGCATGTCTTCGTGACGACGTCTTGACATGTTTGAACCGAACCAGCGTTTGACGAAGAATTTTACACCACGAAGCCACCTCAACCATTCAAAGTAAAAATATCTAAAAAGACTCAGCTGGAAGATCTTGGAAGGCTCAGCTGGGAGCAGATGCTGACGCTTGAAGCCCAGCTGGGCTTCAGCCCAGGCATTCCTCGTTCTCTGGTCGATCAGTCGATCTGACCTCGATCTTGGACTCTAGACTTGGCACATCTCGCAGGGTGGAGGGGTCAAGGGGTGGGGCCAACGCGGTACAACCAGGGCACATGGGTGGGCCTCTAAATGCGGGTCGACCCGAGGCGCTCACAACGGCCGAGATCGCGTAGCAGCTGAACACACCACCCGCAGGCCGAAGTGACAGTATCTCCCGATCAAAGTACATCAAAGTACCACAACATACCACAACCATATACATCATACATGATACTACCCTGTTCTTGTTCGTCCTTGCACTGCTACCGCACTGCTACCGCACTGCTCTATCACTGTCGCATGACGATGCCAGTGGAGACCTTTGCTAAAGCAAGATAGTGACAGAGTTTTGCTGCCGGTGGTACTACCAAAGACCTGATCACTCGGAGGTCGCAGATTTGTTTGCAGCTTGAGACATGGAGATGTGAGTCATGTGAGTCTCAATCAAATATATTAATATTATATATTGCTTCAAAGTCCAATGACTACACTGACTACAGCCCCCCCGAAAGAATAACACTCCCAAGCCGGGAGTCTACACCATCCGATTGCAACTCATCCCTCCATCACCATCACCAAAGGCCCGCACCCTCTCGTCACCCTCTCTGACTTCGTGACTTCGCCTGGGCCCAGCTTCACGACGAAGTCGCCCAGGTACTGCGTGGCGCAGTCCGCCGCGGCCTTGGAGACGGTGACGTCGCTGGCGTAGTAGCCTGGGCTCGGGCACGCCAGCGCGGTCGCCAAGGCGAGCTCGGTGGGAGAGCGGTTGGAAGTCGGACGGTTGGAAGTTGGAAGTTGGTATACCTGGTTTGGAGGGTTGTTGAAGGCTGAAGAAGAAACAACTTTTTGGGGGTGGGACCGAGCACCGTCAGATGGATTTTGGTGACGGAGCTTTCGGAGGAAAGATGGACGAAAGCTTTTTGTGTGCGTTTCGTGCCCATGTCAAGTGGGGTCAAAGGTTGGAGTCAGAGGATGCACCCTTCTATTCTATTCTTTGTCCTTTATTCTTTTGAAACGAACTCTCAGCATGGTCTTGCCGTTTGATTCTGCCTCTGTTTCTAGCTTTCGACACGGCACTTCGCTCGACAAATGATTGGCAAATCAAGCCTTCAGTCATTCCTCTCCGCTGAACCTGCCTCCGAAGGACATGGACGGCCTGCCCCTTTTTCAAAGATATCGAAAGAAGATGATATACGATGATGCTCTTCAAAACAAGCCATTGGCTTCGATGACAACGTCCCAGCAGAGATTGTTTCATCATTTTTCACTATATAGAAAACCAAAACAGAAATGAGCAATAGAAGGGAGGAGGCTCTGAGGAGCCTTCCCTTCCCATGTGCAGTTTTTTCGTTGTATACGGACCGGCTTTTCGTTTCCGACATCCAGCTCCAAGAGGCCGCTCAAGCTCTGCAAGGAATAGCCCCAAACACGTTGACAGGAGGCATCCGCCGAAATCGCCTGCCTGCCGGAAAGGGGAAAACCTTGCCAGCTCGTCTCCAAACAGTATGAGTCAGAGTGGAGGGAGGACCTTGAAGTGGTGTTAACCGACCCCAAAACAAAAATTGTAAATACTCAAGATAGACAAGTGTACATTGCCCTGATTCAAAGACTATGTCCATTGGCCAACGGGGGGCTGTCCACATCCGTGTTTGTTCTTTGACGATCTTTGAAGTCTATCTCCGCTTTGTGTTCAAAATACACATCTATAAATTAAACCATATCATATAACCCATACCTGGAAGCTGAGTGACCCCTGTTTTGGAGGATCAACTATCCAAAATATGGCCCAACCTCCTATCAAAAGGGAGACCATGGCTGGGTTCTAGGTACCTAAAGTCTCTCACCTTCAAGAACAAGATCTTGCTCAAAACATCCTACCAAGTCAGCTCCGTTCTCCAGTCCCTAACAGAAACCAAACCAGCTCAGAACACACAACCAAAATCAGGCGGCACACATCAAGCGCCAACGGCCGGTTTGTTCTCATTCTCGGCTTGGCTGTTTATTCTCGCTATATAGTGCGATACCCAAAATCGAATTCTCTGCCAGGAACCCTTCCCAGGACTCGGAACCTCTCTCGTCTCAAAAACACCTTCTTCGCGGGCGCCTCGTCGCCCCAGACGCCCAGAGAACGACCCGCCGACGGAGACCGTCGAGACCCTCGCCCAGACGAACCGTCATCCACCAAGGTGCTTGAGTCCCTCAACGACTGCAGACCACAGGGAGGGTGCCATCATGAAGCCCGGAGTGCCGGTGTCCTCCGCCGATGTGGGTCCGGGCCAAATGCAAACCGGTCCCTACGGGAGTGACAGGTTGTGGAAGTGAAATGAAGTTCAACTGTGACCCCAAACTGGACAGACGTCGTTAAATTTGTTTTTTGTTACTAAAAACGGTGACCTTTTCTACGGATCCTGAGCGTTTGGTGATCCCCAAAATGCCAGGTGGAACAGACATGCAGGGACGAGCGCCTCCTCTGGGGATGGACGTCGGTCTTTCGTGTTGAGTGGCGTCTGACTGAGGGAGATATGCCCAAAGCAAATTCGACAGGGAGGGATGGCACTATGGCTCCGGGTGGCGGGACCAAATGTGCTGGGATGGTTGTGACTAAGGGCTTTTTGGGGGGGGCCGGACCTCCTGTTGTGAGCTTGAAAAAATCATTTTTTGTGGTTATAGGTCTTGGTATTTGGATTCTGGGTGATTTTTGAGGAGTCCATGAACCAGCAGGAGGCAATATTTTGGCAAGCGAGTTAATTGCGATTTGGTGGGATTAAAATAGATTAAACATTAAATAAGAGTTGTGAACAAAGGTAAATATTGCAGAAACAACTTGGGCGATGCATCCTGGGTGACTGAATCCTGGGTCGACCTCGTGTGCCTTCGAAGCTATCCCTCTCAAAAAAAGGGGATCACTTGCAGAAAAATCGCTGATTCCTTAGATTCCTTGGTGTCCCCAGTCTTGCTCTGGCACCCTTCCAAAAGAGAAGCATCACAGGCCTTGGAGGTCGAAAAAACCACGACTCCCTGGTGCACCAAGGAGCTGAGAAGCCATAGCCCTGTCCTTGGGGTCCCGGTGTTTCACCACACGTGACCCACCCGGTCTTTTCGAAGCACGAACCAATCGGATTGAGTGCTCACGTCCCATCAGGTGCCATTCCTTCGGATTCTTCACGTGCCATTCCTTCCCATTTCTTTGCCATTCCTTTAATAGACGATATGGTGATATTGATCCTCAAAACGGGTCCTCACACCTGGGCCCTTTGCCCTTTGAGGGAGCACACCGAGACATCACGATCACGTGGGACATCGGACCAGACTTCCCGGCGACGAGACGTCGGAGACATCAGATTTCGGACCATTCGGAGACGTCACAAGGGCTGGGGCTTCCATCATGCTGGGAGGTTCACGAGTCGGGCGTAGGAAGAGACGACGTGATCTGACTTCTGACACCTCACGAGCCATAGGTATCCATAGGTTCGTTCTTTAAGCTCTTGGTGATGATATTCGTTGATGACTCGCTTGTCTCGCTTGTTTCGAAAGAAAGTCAGGCTAACCCCGAATGGTCACTCTGCTTGATCCCCAAGGAATGGTGCTTCGAAGGGTTTTTGCGGGGTCCAAATTGGTTTCGTGTTCCTGTCCAACCAAGCTCCCAGGGGTTCTTCTTTCAGCCATGAACCAATATGAACCAATAACCAATCTGCCAATCTGAACCACCACATGGCCTTTCAATGAATCCGGGCTTGCCCGCAAGACCAATTCAAACAGAATATGCATGGTATTATTTATAATCAAAATCCCAAAACAACTGGCCCTAGCATAGAAAAGAGATGAAAAGAGTAAACAGCTAACACATAGGCTCTTGCAGTTAAGGTCGCAAAGTTTGAAGAAGGTCAATGTAACCCAATGAACAAAACGACTCACGACGATCATCGATCAACATAACGACCCGACCATCCAAGATTCCCATGTAGTAGTTCCAGTCCTTCGCCTGACCGCGCTGCAGAGCGTGCTGATTCCCATGCTGTAATGGTATCTCACCATGACCAGCACCACCAGCAACCGCCGCCAAGGAGAAAAGAAGGGGAAGAAGCAGAACAAGAAGGAAGGAGGGAGGAGAAGAACAAAAGCAAACAACAACAAAAACAGCTAAAGTGAAAAATGAAGGCCACAAACAACCACCAAAAAATAACAATGAAACGACCTTGCCATGAGGTGACCGTCACGTTCTTCGGCTGAAACCGACCCACTTCCAGTTGGAACGGAACGCCCAATCGACGAGGGACACGGCCGTCGTCTCCGCGGACGCGAAGGCGAGAAGTCGACACAGTCAGTCGTTCGACACAAGTCAAGTCGACCGGATCGTCTTCGATCGGCCTTCCTTGGTCGCAGCTTTTTCGACAATCCATGCCGCACTCCGGTCGCATCACGTCAGTGGCGCCCTGCCTTCTGGGTGCCAATCTGCTTGCTGTTGTAGTAAAACTGCACATCCTGATGGCCGTTGACCCGAAGGTGAAAAACGGTCAATCCCTTGTTCATCCTTTCCTTTCCAAAATAGCTTGCTGTTGAGGTGGCCAGTCCGTACTTCCGACCTCTTCGGAGTCCGCGGCAACGCGGCCCGACCCACGGCTCCTCCGAGTCGACTCCGACGTCATGACGTCATACGTATGTCATAGTCTCATCGTGTTTCTGTTTATATATGAGACTATGCAAAGCAATCGTATCATTTTGCATTCGTTCAGACCCTGAACTCAATCTGTGGACCCAGAGGCCAGTGTAAAACTTGCCTGCATGCATCCTTTTGAGGAGTCCCGCCGAGATCAGTTTGGGATGTCATATGATGTTATATGTGTGTGATCGACTTGGTTGGCCGCATTTGCGTGCATTGTAAGATTGTGTCGATCTGTCTCGTACCGACACAAGTCGAAGTCGAACTGTCGTCTCGCGCACCCATCTTACACCGGTTTTCAGAGGGTTTTCACCCTCTCCCACCCCCCACCTTCCCTGCCATGGCTTCGCTCCATCGATCGCGGCACGCTCCGCGTCTCTCGATCGATGCGTGGTCACCGGTCAGGTCTCCACCGAGGCTCTTCGTGGTCGTTGAAGCTGGCGAGAGGCGAATACATGGCCATGTTGCCGTCCAGCGGTGGCATTGGGATCCTCGGTCCGAACACCCACCCGGCGAGGCGTCGAGATCTGCGACGCGACCGACGAGGTCGAGATCTCGGTGCGCGCCAGCAACTCGAGTTGTGCCAGCAATGTAGGTTCTGTTGAAAGCACTACCTGGACATTCCTCTTCAGGAGCAAAGAAAAACATTTGGATCGACCAGAATTTTGTAATGGAACATCGATCGGTAGTGTGTTTTCAGCAGTTAGCTTTGTCGGACACTGATTGACAAGGTTTGTCCCTGAGCTTGCCAGCAAACAGGGGAGCCGTGAACACCCGGATGGCTTGTCTAGCCCAGAGTGGTCACGGCTCCATCTCTGTCCCGATGTCCCGGAGGTCTGGGGCGGGCTGAACAACCAATGAAACGATCCGAGCTAAGCTTAATTCCAACAAGTGTTTGATCTCACGTCTCGATTTGAGAGCCAGTCACTGCTAAACTCGACTCGTGCCGAAATGTTCGATCAATGAGCTAGTCACTGGGGCTTTCAGTCACTATAGCGCTGGCGCTGGGGGGGGGGGCAGAACACTTCCCGGCTGGGCCACTTCTGAGCGGTGGCCGGCAACTTGCTGGGCTTGCCCAGGTAGAGCATACCGCCACCTGACGGGCCACTTCTGTGCGGCGTGGCTCGCAGCTGTGTGTTTCCCCCCCTCGTGGAGCATGATGTCTTTGGCTCCGCATGTGGAGCACTGTCAACTGAGTATAGCGAAATCTCCACATGAAGCATGGTATACGAGTCTTCTGATGTCTGTTCCTGTATAGCACTCATATAGTTTCTTTTCAAGGCGTTCTATGCATGCCGCCAGCTGTTTGGGTCTCAAACCCAACACCAACTGGTCTGTTTCTTTCGCTTCTCGAACGATCCCTCACTAACTCCAAGGACGGGTTTCACCACCCTTCGCGTCGCACCGCCCCGATCACCTTCCGCGCTGTCGTCGAAGCACATGGTGAAGGCGCGATCGATCTTCCCTGCCGGTGACCGGTCGAAAGCGGCTCGCGCTGCGCGCTGGGCGGTTCGGAGGTCGCAACGGTCACAGCACCCGACGGTGAAAAAGGGATGGAAGAGGTTGATCTGAAAAGGAAAGAGGTTGATCTGAAGGGATGGGATCCGAGGATGATGAAACTTCCGGGTCTGGACCAATGCATCCTCCATCATCCTCCATATCTGGAGATGGAGGGGGTGGAAGTCGCGCTCTGCGGCACATGAAGTTCCTGTGGAGCAGAGGGCATCATCTGATGAAACAAAAGACCGATGGTCAGCAAAGCCTATAGAGGCTGGGTCAGCAAACGCACTTACAGGATTTCACTCCACTTGTTCTAATCAAGAGTCTCACACCATGATCTTGACACAAAACTCCCGGTCATCTCAATGATCATCCCAACCTCCAAATATCGCTCACATCTTCTCGCACACCCCCCGCCGGGCACAAGCTGGTCATCGTTCCAGCGCCCACCGGGCACAACCGTGGCACTGAATGGCCTTGTTGCGCCATGGTCGTCATCAAGTCATCGAAGTCGCTCTTGCCCCGGCACTGCCCCGAGAAGCAGCCGGGCCTAGGCAGCGCAGCATGCCAGAACGCTCGTGCAAGCCCGTGACCGCTCGGACGACCGAGAAAGCGCACCGTGCGGTGTGGGTGACAGGAATTGTGTTCACCACCCGCGCACTGTGCGCGGGGGAGAAAACCCCCCGCTGGACTGGAAGAGCCACATACGTTGACATGTTTCATGGGCCCATCATGTATGTAACATCATGTAAGTATAGTCCCATGCTGTTCAGTGGCTGGATGGCAGAGCCCGCACGTCTTCTTGTTCGCCGGAAGTTGATGGAAGTTGTGGATCTTGGGGCAGTTGATCTGCAGACATTGGATATCGATATTTTTTATACCCAGACCCAGACACTCCACGTATTGTATATATAGGTATATATAGACCCCCCACAACCACCCCAATGTATAGATAAATATGGCAGTCCCATGGAGTGTCTCGGATATGTTGTCGAAGGGTTTCCATCGGACGAAGGCCACGGCCGCCACGGAGGTGGTCGGTTCACGACCACCGCTGCGTGCCCGAAGGAAACAAAAGGTGCGAACCCCCACGACGCCCGTGTGCGAAAGGAGTTGATTAAGGAACTAAACTATAGATCTCAAAGTCTCCAAAGAGGAGATTCACCAAAGCGTGGAACATGTTATTTAGTTTGAGCAAAAACTCGGTGTGTATGTGACGTAACCTTACCACCGAACTGTGAATCGATCATCGCGTGCCAGGCTGATTCTGTGATCACCAGGCTGATTCTGTGTCAAGCCAAACAGGCCCAATTTGTCTCAGAATCAACGGATCAATAAACAATAGAATAAACAATACACCAAATTAATGAACTCACAAGAATGATCTACTATGTGCTATTGCTTCAGTAATCCACAAGAACCCGCTGCTTGGGCTCCTTCGTTGCCCAAAAAATCCTGGTGGATCGTGTTCCATTGGTCAACTTCGAATGATCAAAGGTGCGGTGGGTGGATCATAAGTTGGTTCGTCAATCTCTTCGTGGAAGAAATGGGAAGTGTGTGTTTTTGTGTTTTTCCAAACTGGTCTGAAAGAAAAATAACACACCAACAGCTGCATGTTTTATACGTACTCAAAAGAAAAAAGAAAGACCAAAAGGTGCCAAGTAGGGGGGGAGCTCCGATGTGTTTTGTCCTCCCTCTTACAGTGGTCCGTCTTCCTCGTCTTCACTCAGCGGCAGCAGGCCCAGGATGCCAGCATCCGTCGTGACCTGAAGATGACGGACGATGACACCGAAGCCTCGACAGCTGATGTGTCGCTCTTGGGAAGAGGTCCGGAAATGGGTTGGGACCGTTGGGAGGTTTGAAGAGAGCTCTTCAACCCAAAGCATGGTGAGCGGACACGGTCGAGATGGTTGACGAGTCGGTCGTGGTGTCCGACAGGTTCAAACCTGCGAAAATTGGGGATCCACATGAACCCCCGAAAGAATCAGACCGTTTGGGAGTGCTCCAAGCAGCTGGGTCAAACGAACAAAGGGTCACAGGAGTCCGAGTCAAAACAGTCAAAGGCCACAGAAGGACTCTTGGCCAATTAGCATTGAGATCTTTGTTAAGTATAGTACCTGTACCATCCTGTACCTGGACCCTCCAACAGGTCTCCTGTGATTTTCCTTGGTTTTTGCAGACGAACCGTCGAGTCGCATGTGACCTGTGAAGTCGGGTGCTGGTCGGGTCGGTTGGTAGACGTCTTATACTCGCCCATCCGCCCGGCGGTCAGGAAGATGCCACGGCCTGGTTGCAGAAACGACCAGACCTTGAGTCTGAGATACCGAAGGCATGGCTTTTTACATGTAAAACATGTGAAGCAACACCTCAACATACCTCAACAATCCTCAACATACCGCAGATGACCCTGAAAGCTATTGAAAGCTTCGCTTGGACCGCGCGCTGCGTTTCGGCCCGAGGAGCCGATTGGTACATGTTTCCCAAAGGCGCGTTCCCGATCATGTTCATGCCTCAGTGAAGGAGGGTGAGTTTGGAGTCGAGGCGAAGTTCGTTCGTTCGTTCAGGTCTGGTCGACCGGGGTGAAGAAGACGAAGTCCTTCCGAAGGTTTCAACACCTGGATTCGGAACAGAATTGAAAACCTTAGAGACTGGCTTGAAGCCCCTAGCCGGAGTCCCAAGCCTTGACAACCAAATCACCCTGGCCAAGAAAAGCTTAGCTAGCTAGCTCGTCCCCTTCGGCCAGTCCGCTTGGTGGCACTTGGTGGCCAGACCGGAGCTCATCCAGTCGTCCGCCTCGCCCACCCACCCACCTCGGCCAAGGGACCCACGCGCGCGGGGGGCCGTGACGCCGCCGAAGGTCACGTCGTCGTGGCCTAGAATGCCAATGAAGTAGCTCCAGAGCTGCATGCCATAGCCTCCACGGAACTGGCGTGGCGAACACATCAGCGGTCCGGGTGGTTTTTTTGGAGAAGACGGTTTCGAAGGGAGGGGAGAAGATGGAGGGGAACGCCTGCCAAGGTAGGGGAGGGGAAAGTGGACACACTGTTCCAAGCCCAATGTTCTTTGGGAAGGACCAGGACCTCTTGATCAGTTTCTGGTTTTTGGAGAAAAGAACCTGCCAAGAAGGTAAGAAGTTCGAGTTGAAAAACAGTTCTCCAGCATAAATGTGGTCCAACCTGCATGGCCTGGTGTTCCAGGTGACCAGTTTTCGGGAGGCTCAGCAGGAAGAAATGGTATCGTGTTTCGACTCACGGACGTCACACAGAAATAGTGCCAAGATGAGCTTGTTTCCACACTAATTCTCTGACTTGAATTAGCACTTGCTTAAGGGGGGTGGTCAGGGGGGGGTGGTGTGAGTCTTTCTGACAGAACCCAGCAATGGCTTTCCAACAAAGTCCGTTCCGTTTAGGCCGCTGAACATACTCTAGGACACTTGCCCTAAGTCGTATCTTATCACCAAAAGTCGTATCAATCAGGTGTGGCCTTGGGGAGAAGATGACCCCTGGGCATTGATTGTGTTTTGTTTTGCTTTGGAACTGCTGTGGCCTTGCGGATTGGGACATCCATCACACGTACTTGGAGAGTATTTGTCCTACTGTTTCCTTGCAGTTCTTCTCTTTGTAGATTGCACATGCTGTGGAATTAATTTCGGAAGACAGAAGTTCATAAAGTGATAACTTGCAGATATGCATTATGAGATTCCAGAGGTTACTTTGCACTCAGCCCATTTTTGGGCCCAAAGATGAGCAATGAACACCAATGCTATCATTCAGGAACCTTTAAATGGAATCATCATCCATTTGGAATCAGAATTTTGTTAGTCCTGACTATATCCAACTCACAGTTCCATCCCAACTGATCACAACCGTTCCATTCCATTCCATCCACACATCTAAACAGCGCCCTGCTCTTCCGCCTTGCCAGTAGAGGCTCTCACCCATGACCGTGCGCGTCTGGGCCAAGCGGGAGGTCTTCGTGGCGTTCATCTGATGTTGCAACTGCAGGTAGGACGTCCTCGGCCGTTTGACAGTGCGGTTCGACGAAAGCCTTTTTCGGTGTCGGTTTGTTCTGCTGACCGTGGATCAACGGTCTGACCTCTTCGTTGCCGGATCAACGGTCTGACCTTTTGTCCAAACTCCTTTGAGAGGCGGAATTCTCCTTTGGCATCCCTTGCACGGGCACGCGACAGCGCATTGATGACCCAAGGTACTACTGAGTTGGGAGCTTCAAACTGCCAAAAAGATGTGTCATGCTTTCGTGTCATATCGTATATACCTATCAGCTTCTGCGGTTCGTGACCTTTTGAAGGTTCCCAAGTGACCCTTAGGAGGCTTAAGTGACCTCAAACGAGGTTATCAAAGGTCACTTTGAAGAACCAGGTAGTTGCTTCCCCGAACCTGAGGGGGACCTAGATCCGCCCTCTGCCCCGCCCATCTGACCGAACGAGGCACTCGTCGCAGCCTGACCCATCACAAACCTCTTCGGACACCACGCCCAGGACCGCGAGCAGGACGATCGCCGCACCGCGCCTTGTTTCGCACGGAGAGCCCATCGCTTCTAAGGCAAGAAGAGCCCAGATGGACCAATTGGCGGGGTTGGTTGGGTCGGAATTGTTCGTGCTACGGCGGAGTAAATGTTTGGAAATACTGTAAATCAATATACAAATCAATTATATATATGCAGCTAGATGGTTGATCAAGAGCCTAGAAAATAGCGATGATGGTGTTTGGGTGTGGAACCACCCCAAGTTTTGCCGACACCTTCTCCAAGACGACTTAAAATCTAATGTCCCGGCACTAGGTGGACAGCAACGCACAGACTGTCTAGAATGGCCAAACCAATGCTGAGGCTGACCCAGACTATAGCCAGCTTATATAGGCTACATGTAATATAATAGACCATAATTACCTAGAACATGAATGACCTCTATTTTGGACCACCAGCCACCCAAAATATGGTCGTCCTGTCAAACCAAGAGTCCGGTTCTACAGGTATGCAGCCAGTATGCAAATAGAGCCAGGCACAGTGCGTCCGTGCGCCCCGCCTCCTGTCGCCCAAAGAAACACCAACTCATGATTCCTCCATTGCCGGCAACCCCAAGTTTTTGTTGGAACGTTCAAGGATCTTGCCATCTTGCCTGTGGCTCATCCACTGACCTACTGCATCTCAATGAGTATCCAACACACACACACAAGAGAGAGAGAGAGAGAGCGAGAGAGAGAACAAGAACCAAGCTTGTGCCCTTTTTCAAAGGCTTTCATCATTCAGTTCTGTGGCAAATCCCTCCTGCAACCCAAGGTCCAAAGACTCTAACAAAATGTGCGACGAGTGACAGGAGAGTGAGATCCTCCATCTGTGCTTCTACCATCTTCTACCCCTTGCAGCCAACCCACAACAGCCAATGTCCCCGCTCAGAACAGCCAAGGCGCATCATGGAAGTTCAAAATCTTCAGTGCAAGTGACAAAAGCACTATATGGTCGTCTGCTAAGGTTGAAGAAGACGGCTGCAGTGTTCATTGGGCGAGAAAGACCTGTCAAACTGATGGTATTGGGAATATCGTTCGTTCATCCGAAAAGGAACAACTATCTATATATATAGAAGAAAAAGAACCATGCAGCTGAGAAAGGAATAAGAAGATGTAATTGGTTTTGTATCCAAGAAACGCTCAGCCAACTGCCGTTCATCTCCTCCACATGTATCCGGTCCGCATTCTCAGTGCACGTTGCGAAATCTGGAATCCTTGGACTCCCAGGAAATACAAAACCGAAATCAACCCAGCTAGGCATCAATAACAAACACACCACAAAAATCAAAGAAGCAAAGACCACATATCACCATATACCACCCGTTGACCCGCGAGGGGCTCCACCATACCCAGACAGGGGTGGTTTCAGGGTTCAATGTCGGCATGTATCTTCCATATCATGGAGTGACTAAAATATCCGGTCTTTCATGACCATCGCTTCCAGATCGAACCCCCAGGGCCATCTGCGTTACCCCCCCCCAGGGCCATCTGTCTCCGTGGCTCCCGACGTCTGAGCCGTGAGGGCGCAGTGACACGCCGCGGCGGACTGCGACACCGAGGAGTCCACCTGAGCGTCGGCGCGGACACGGAGACGGACACGAGGATGGGGGTGGGGAGGAGGGAGGGGGGTTCGTCTTGCTGGGGCGGGTTTGCAAGAGTGGATGAGTGAAGAACATGTGTTGGGAACATGTTTCTGTAGATAGGTGAAAGGTGTACTTAGGTACCAAAATCAGGGATATGCTATTCTATTTCTCTCGCTTCTTTCTTTATGGCAGTGTCTTTTAAACTGTATGGCGAATAGGTGCCTGTCACTGAACAAGTGTCATTCTTACCGAACGATTTCTGGTCTTTGAGAATAGAGGCGAGAGATGTTGAGATGCCCAAAGGGGAGAGGGTTGGGAGTGAGTGGAGAGGGCTGGTGTTGGGCTGGGTACGTGAGGTAAGCATCATTCAATTTCTCCATCCAAGAAGCATCGCCTGCAGCTCAGATTTTTAGATTTGATTTGTGCATGTGCTGCATGCCTGTGAACTACTTCAGAGGTTACAACAAAAGGCTTGGTTGATTCATGATCTTTTGGTTTAACATCAGAGCAGTGGCAGCTTTTATATGAGATTTAGCTTCTTTTGCAACTGAGTCGATTTTAGACCAATGAGTGGACTTTCCACCTGGGCCCCAGTCCAACGGACGTGCCGGAGCGGTTTCCGGGCGTTCGGAGGTTCGTTCTGGTTCGACCGGTCGTTCGCAGGTTGGGGGTGGTGTTTTTCGTCCCCAGGTGGATCATGAACACCCGCCATCCTCCAAGTTCGGCACATCCGATCAGTTCGTGGACTCCTGGTGTAGATCGATCGGTGGTCATACCGTAGATCGATGTGCGAACGGAGCATCGTTTCGCTGGTGTAGATCGATCGGATGTGCTTGGAGCATCGGAGCCCCAAAAAGGTCGTCGTCGTCATGGAGTGTCGTGGAATGCTTGTTTCGCTGAGGTGCCAGAAAGGGCTTCCGCCGGAGTTCAAGGCCAGCTGCCACGGAGGCCCACGCAGGCTTCCTCGGAGAAAACTGACCCAGTGAGGGGAGAACAATTGGAAGAAGAGGAACACTATTCATTCTTCATCTAGAAACTTTATCTAGAAACTGGGTACTTCAGTCAAAGCTCCAGTATTCCAAAGCTTACACCCACCAAAAAATGGGCGTATCTTGTCCTATCAAAAGACCGGCTCTTTGAGTCCGTGACCCGCACGCAGTCCGGTGCACGGTGCACGCGGTGCGGTGAGCTGAGCTCCCGGACCCCACCACCAGCATCAGTGGACCTCCGGTGGATCCGGAGGTGTCCGGGGCCGAAGAAGGAGGTAACAGGTGTCCCACTGGTGATTGAACAGGTGTTAGGACCTTGGAACGAAGGCCGGAGCTGTGAGGAGCCGTGCGGCTCGTCTGATTCTTGAAGCGATTGATGCGGTTCTACTGTGGAGATTTG